CTTCCAGCGTAGGGCGAGCCGGACAGAGGCCGGGCCCACCGCCAGGGCCGGGGGCACCTCCCAACCCCACCTTGCGGGGCACGTTTGGGGCGCTCGGGTTTGCGTTCTTCCTTGGAGGGGGGGGTGCAGTGTGATTCCCCAAGAGCCCACCTGGAACCCACCGCCCCACCCAACGCCGCCCTCCCCCACCGGTGACAAGTGGAGCAAACTGCAAACCTTCCCTCGCTTCCCCCTTCCAGCCTCGGGGAGCTGGCGTACGTGCCCGCTGGGTTTCCCTGCGGTCCGCAGTGAAGCCGCCTGCCCGGGGGTCGCGACGCCGCGGGGCGGAGGCCCTGGGCGAGCGAGGCCGGGCCTGGCGCGGCGCTTACCTCGTCCACGGTGAGGGGCATGCAGATCCGGTACTCCTTCAGCAGCATGGTCCCGCCGGCTGCCGACCGCGGGGCGGGAAGCGCCCCCAGACCAACGAGGCTGCCGCCCGGGCGCAGGCAGGGCGAGCTCAGCTCCTGGCTCCCTCCTCGGCGCCCGCGAGCATGTCAAGGTTTGGGTCCCGGTGCGCGCCGCTCCGCTCCCCCGCGCTCCTGCCTCGCCGAGGTCGCTGCTCCCGGACGCCGGCTTGCAAAGTCGGAGGAGGAGGGAGAGCCGCAGGCAGTGGCTCCGATCGGCAGCCCCGGGCTGTCGAGGCGACTGGAAGATCAGGACTTGCCCGCCGGGGGACACGCGGGGTAGAAATGGAGCTTTCCGAAAATGAAAACGAATGCACAAAAGTCACCCCCTGGATCCGCCTCCGAGACAATCCTGGAACCCGGAGACCCCCCGGCCGGCCGGTCCCCCCAGTGCTAATGTCACCGAGCGCAGCCCAGCCGGAGCCGGAGATGCTGACTTCCCAGACAAAGGCTCGCCGGGCTCCTCTCCGCCCGCGGTAAACAAGGTTTCCTTCCCGTTTTAGGGCCAGTCCCCGGGCCACTCGCGGGCTCGGCGGGGAGAGGAACGGGAAGCCGCG